TTCACATTTTCATATATTTGCAAAGGCATTCATTGACAGACTCATGATTAGATCAAATAGACCAAGACGCGATTTAGTACTTTTTTATGCTTCCAGCAAAAAACTAAGCATCAAAAATTTTACTGATAAATGACATTTATAATAAGGAGCTCGCTTCCTTTTTATAACGGCATTCCATTTTTTGCATACAAATAATTTCAAAACGATCTAGCGACATTCTAACTTTATAATGGGAAAATTTTCTAAAGAAGAGGTGGGTAACTCATAAAAGTAACAAACGGGAGATGAAAAGATTGATAGAGAGCGATCATGATAAGAATAAGAGTGAAACTTTAAATGTTCCTCAAGTTGAAGGAAGGTGAACGTGCCCAGTCACTCTAAGCCATTATGAAGGGAAGAATTAGCCAACGCTAGTATACATATTGTAATACTTGCTTTTACTAAGTGGCGGGGAGTGCTCCTCTTTCGCAAAAGAATACGTATCAGGTAATGTTTTCAGTGTTCATAACGTTTGTTATACTAGTAGCGCAGTCGTTATGAACGCCGTTAACGCTCGCTCCAAGTTCGGCGATTGGCCGGGTGCATATTTTGCGTCAATCCCCAAACTTACTGAAAACCTCATGCCAAATTCGCGGCTAGCTAATGTCATGCTCGAAGCTGTCACGAGTGCGGCTCATTCGTTGTGACAAATTTGGGGGATTACTACCTCCCAGAAGACAAATAACTTACACTAGAAAATTGTCTGTCGTTGTCTTTGACGAGTTGCTTGTTCGTTTAGTTTCCAGGTGCTTAATATCAGTTCTTTTTTATTAAAAACTTATTTTTCTTCTTCAAAATACCATTTGAAGATGAGTTCGTTAGCATTTTGGATACTCCTTCTAAACAGCAAATATGCAGCGCAAAAGTCCCTTTCCTTCTTTTTTTCTTCTACGCCTTTTGATAAGTTCGAATATTAGGCGTAGAATGATTCTCCTTTTTCAGCAATTTGGATCATGGACGCTCTCATTGCCATTGAGGGCAACTGGGAAG